GCAGATAAAAAGATATAATTTTTTCGGTTCTTACCGTGACACAACAAAAGCTGATAAAAATAAAAAATTTCAAATCTTCTCTAGCACCGTCTTCTAGCATCATTACACAAACTCTAGGTCTTCCTAATACTACAAAAATTGTGCTACATTAGTGGCAACATGCATTCTTAGTTAGACTGCCACAAGAGTCCGATTTTGGATTTTAGACACTTATGTCCAATTTCCTGGATACAAGGGTCTGATGTTGGATTTTGAACATTAGGGTCCGATTTTGGATTCTTGACACCAGCTTCCATTTTTGGATTTTGGACATTAGTGTCCGATTTAACAAGCAAATTTAGGTTTTGGAGCCTAGAGGATAGGGTAATCGTTAAGCTTTTGAGCTTGCCCCTTTAACTTATTAATATATTAGTATTTTTATCATAATGAATATTGTTGATGCGATAATTTGTTACTTTCTTATTTTTCCGGAAAAGTTTCGAAAAAAATTGAAAAGATTTAACTGTAATACAACCAGCTATATTAACCCGATGTATTTTGAAAGCATGCGATCAAGACTTCATTTTATCAATAATAAAGTACTCTATACCTATAGTTTTCAAGCCTTTGCATTATATTGGATATGTTTTGAATCGTTTCTGTTGGAAGGTTCGATTGCTTTGCTAAATTACCAATTTTTCAGTTTCTTAGAAAAGCAAACAAATAATCTTTCATTTTCCGCCTCTTAGAAGAAAAGGGGAAGTTTCATTTGAATTAGTGGAGGGGGGGATAGGGGGTGATAGTTCGGAATGACGCTAGCGGGGGACATATTGCTGCAACTACTCGCCTCGTTTGAGATGACGAAATTCTGACACGGGAATTTCACCCCTGGTGAACTCGTACAGAACTGTTCAGTCACTTGCTTTGGAGTCAATGTACACTTATCACTTATCAGCTGACCGTAGAGAGCTAGCTACCGCGGTGGCTTAGCGTATAGTGTGTGACGACCAGACGATAAAATACTTTGATTTCGTTACCCTGATCGAGAACTCGAAAAACAACTTTGTTATGAGTCAGTCAACACTCAGCTTAGGATAATATGTCATATGTCGAAAACGCACCAAAG